AGAAGAAGAGATTGACATGTAGTCGGTGCAAGGAAAGTGGTCATACAAGGTTGACATGTGGATCACCAGTGCCATCACAATCATCTTTTCCTCTACCAAAATATGGATCCTCATCAAAATCCCAATCACAACCGGCTTCACCTTTTGGGACTGTTAACTTAGGTGATTTTTAAATGCAAACGTTGTATTATGTGTATATTATGTGTGAACTTTTAACATTTTCAGTTAGGCATGTATTAGTAACTTGAGTTTGAACATTGCTATGATATGTTCAGTTGTTATCAATTATTGAATTCATACTGTCATATACTATTGTCTTTAGGGATGGGAGCTGAAGCTCGACGAGAAGCCAATGAGTACGGTCCAAAACAGGGATAAACACCTGCATAGAAATTTAATAATTCAAATTGCGCACTTATTTATGAACACCTTTAAAATATTTAAACAAATATACTAACCTTATCGACCTGCCACCATGCAGGATAAAGTTTAGCTTGTCCATTAGCCAACACATATGATTCCTGTCGTTGATTCTTCAAGTGAACTACGTGAAAAGACGTCGGCATAATTGTATATCGCGTTTTTTTTAATATTTTTCTTCAATTTCCTTACAATTAGAAGACGTGTCACCCATGCATCAATATGCTGTTTTACAAAAAAAGACATATATTAGTGAATTACATAAATTTTAAAAAAAATTAATCAAACTGAAATATAAGAAGAAATATAAGACTTACCCCCCATCGAAATAGCTGTTGTCTTTAACCCCTAATAATACACCCCACCAAGACCGTTCAATCAACAAATGCATATCATTGTTGAGTTTGTATATGTCAGCGTAACACCCTTGGCTCCGCTCATGTAGATAAAAATCAACTGCGGTCTTAGCCCAAAGAGTATTATCCAGAATTGTTTCCGGTAGTTGTTTCCTCTCCACTTCATCTGCCGGAATGGTACTGGCCGGTAACTTATACGAAAGCCAACAGTCATCCATCATGTCCGGCACGTGAGGGGGCTTCTCAATAATTCGATATATTGCGCCATGTGAATCGGGCTCTAGAATGTTGGGAGGGACCTCTTCAACGATGACAGTGGCCTCTTGAACGGTGGGAGGGGACTCTTGAGGGATGATAGGGGCCTCTTGAACGATAGGGGAGGCCTCTTGAACGATGACAGGTGAGTCGGGTTTTTTCTTACGGATTCTTTGCACTATTGGGGTGAACAGAGACGTAATGGCAAGTGCATGCCGTCTGATGCGTGAACTCCGTCTTGCAAGAAAAACCCGACGTAGAGCATCCACCTTAGCAGGCCGCTAAAAATAAATTAATACATAAATCAGTAAATAAACAGACATGATATTAAACAGTGAAAACAAAGACAAATATATTTCAAACTTGCACGGTATTCACCCAAGTCATTATTATATCATTGTTCATAAAATGCATCAGATAACATTCTAGAAGTAAGCACTTATATAAACATTTAAAAGGACAACATATAGGTTTAGTGCAGGTTCAATGACAACATAAAGAGTAGTAGTTTATTCTTGAAACTTAAATTTTCAACACTGTGAAGTTAGTATTTATCTTTTGGTTGAAGTAATGCAATTCATTCAAGTTTCAATTTGCAGAAGAAGAATAGAATCTGAAACTTAAAATCGCAACGCAAAAATGACTATCGCAACGCGAAAATGACTATCGCAATGCAAAAATGACTATCGCAATGCGAATTTGACTATCGCAATGCGAATTTAACTATCGCAATGCGATTTTCATTTCGCATTGCGATTCTTTCGTTGCGATAATCAAATTCGCATTGCGATAGTCATTTTCGCATTACGATAGTCATTTTCGCATTACGATAGTCATTTTCGCAATGCGATTTTGTTGTTGCGATTTTCATTTCGCATTGCGATTCTCTCGTTGCGATAGTCATTTTCGCGTTGCGATAGTCATTTTCGAATTACGATAATAAACTATTCTTCTTCTGCAAATTGAAACTTGAATGGATTGCATTACTTCAACCAAAAGACAACCAAAAACAAATACTAACTTCACAGTGTTAAAGAATAAACAGTTAAACAGTATTGGCAGCAACCGAATGAATTTACTAAGCAATCTAAGTGAAATTACGAGTAAATTTATCATCAAGTTAAATATGAAAAATATTAAACTTATCTCGTTGCGTAGAGTATGAACCTCGTTCTGCAACGATGCTACAATCTCACGTAGAGCTACTACCTCACCACGTAAAGTAGACACCTTAACACGCCATGCATCATTGCCATCGCGTAAAGTACCTACCTCCTCACGCAAGGCATTGATCTCATTACGTAACTCCCCTAACTCATCCCGTGGAGGTGGAGGTGGAGAACAGGGAGATAAACATCGTGGCATCTTTGCCGGTCGCCTATCATGAGGTGATGGTGGAGAAGAGGCTCGATGATGTGACAGAATAGGTGATGACTCTCGTTGTGAAGGTTTATATTCGGGTCGATCAGGTGATGGCTCTGGGTGAGGTGATGGCTCTCGAAGTGGTGACTGCTCATCATCCGTGCCATAAAAAAAAGCTTACTAGCTTGCCACCAATCAGTGGCAAGCTCAGCTTCCATGGGTGTCAGCCTCTGTAATAGAGTGTTGGCCTCCTAACAATATAAAACCTCAAACAAAGTTAAACGTATACTAGTAATAACTTGTTTATAAACATATGGTAGTATTTGTGTTAACTTACATTATTTATTGTAGTATACGGTAGTAAATCTTCCCATTGCTGCAAGGACTGTTTCCTCTTCCAGGAAATAGCCCTAGGAATATCATTAGAAGTTTTTAATACATATGTCTGCATGGCGGGAAAGGCCTCAAATATCCAAATCTACAAATAATATAATAACAAACATTAGTAATTGTTAAAGAATTAATTATAATTTTGGAAACATTATATAAAAATTATTACCTTAAAGGCCCAAATAAAGCCTGACAAAGTGTATTTGGAACCATCGCCACGCAAACTTTTCCGATCATTAAAGGCAGACGACAACTTATTCCATGTAGCTCTCCATAGATACGAACCCCACGGAAACAAGTTCCATGCATTTAGGTCCTCTACCAATTTAATTAGATCATTAGGAATAGGTTGTCGGGCCTCTCTGCCTAAAAAGTCGGCTTGCAAAAGTATTAGAAGGCATACTCGGACAACATCGACGTCATTCATCCGAGTAAAACCATCTTTCTTATTCAATAATCTCGTCAAGTCGTACACGTGTAAATTTGACTTCTCCGTTGACAGCTCAGGAAAAACCCAGGAAAACCATGATAGGCGGGTAATATGTCTAGTGTACCGATCTACATCATCGTGTCCGAAGCGTAAACTGGTGATTAAGCAAAACTCCTCCCGCCCAAAACACGTATACGCCGGTGGAAAATCAAACCATATATCTTCATCACGACGTTGTATAGTCTCTGGTAGATCGCTAGTCATGGTTTGAAGAAACAGATGGGTCAACATAGCATCTCCACCCGGATATTGTACTTTCAGCCATGGCCCGAAGCAAGTATCCTCAAATATTTTTCTTTGTGCAGGTGAAAGCTTCGACGCAATTGTTTTGGCCAGGCTTACTTTATTTCTTAAGGTCAATTGAGCCGAATAAAAGTTCTGTAAAAACAATAAACATACCAATTTAGATATACCAAAAACTACACTGTGAAGATATGAACAATAAACATAAAGAGTAGTAGTTTATTCTTCAAACTTAAATTTGCAACACTGTGAATTTAGTATTTGTTTTTTGGTTGAAGTAATGTAATTCATTCAAGTTTCAATTTGTAGAAGAAGAATAGTTTCTGAAACTTTAAATCGCAACACGAAAATGAAAATCGCAACACGAAAATGACTATCGCAACGCGAATTTGACTATCGCAACGCAAGAATCGCAACGCGAAATGAAAATCGCAACGACAGAATCGCATTGCGATAGTCATTCTCGGTTTCAAATACTAAAATTGAAAGAAACTTAAATGGATTGCATTACTTCAACCAAAAGACAAAACAAAGACAAATACTAACTTCACAGGGTTAAAGACTAAACAGTTTAGCAGTATTGGCAGCAATCGAATGAATATAATAAGCAATCTAAGTGAAATGGTTAATCTATTATTGAAAACACCAATAAACTTATCATCAATTTCAATATGAAAAACCTAATAATAATGCAAAAATTTCAAAATAAAAATAATTAAAAAAACTAACCCTCGGTGGTTGATTTGGTTGATTTTCCATTTCTGACCGTGAATGATTTCGCCGGAGATGGAGACTGATATCGTCGGAGATGGGGACGGATGTCGCCTTAGAGAGTGAGAGATGGAGATGAGACTGAGTTGTGATTTAGGGTTTTAGGTTATGAGTTGCGATTACGGGATATACTGTGGACGGTTCAGTGTTCTGATATATTAATATATTCGTGTTTGGAATTTGAAAAAAAAATACGCGTTGGATACGAATGGCGCTATGTAAATCGCATTGCGATAGTCAGATTCGCATTGCGATTTACGTATTCGCATTGCGATTTACATATTCGCATTGCGATTTTTCAAATTCGCGTTGCGATTTACGTATTCGCATTGCGAATTAGGAAAATCGCAACGCAAATTTGGAAAATCGCAATGCGATAGTCAGAATCGCGTTGCGAATCTGGAAACTGATTTGCGATACCGGAGATCGCGTTGCGAATTATCGATCGCATTGCAATTTAGTTGGTCATTTTGACAAATCCAAAAAAAATTAATTAAAATCGTATATTATAAGGTATTTTTGATCACTGAAATTATTTTCTATTTGGATAAAAGAATCCAACAACGTTTGACTAATTATACGAGGGATAAAGATTAAAAAAAGTCGGTAAGAATCGGATCCCAACAGATATGTGGTGCAAAGCGAGGGGGCATAATCGCCTATAATTAAAAAATCTGCAATTAAAATGAGAGATTCTCTCTCTCTTTCTGTTGATGAGGAGAGGAGAGGAGAGGAGAGGAGGTGCGGTGACCAAAGGCAAAGCTTACAAGCCACCTCCCTCTCTCTCCGTTTAGATGATCTGTAAAAATGTCGAATTGATAAACAATCGATTCATCTCATAACTGAAACCCACCCTCTTTATCCCAGGAAACAAACAAACGAACAGAAGATACCTTTAAACCATAACCCAACCACCCCATCTTAAGAATAAAGGGGGGGGAAATTCAATCCCTGTTTTAGGCCCTCCACCCATTCCCAATCCAAAACCGTGTTGAGAGAGAGAGAGAGAGAGAGAGAGAGAGAGAGAGAGTGTGAGAGAGAGCGATTTAATACAAATCCATGAGGTGTGGAACGATAACCTCGAGGAAGATTTCGCTTTGATTCGTGAAATCGTCGATGATTACCCGTACATTGTCATGGACACCGAGTTTCCGGGCGTTGTATTACGTCCTGTGGGCAATTTCAAGAGCTGCTATGACTATCACTACCAAACTTTGAAAAACAATGTTGATACGTTGAAGTTGATTCAATTGGGTCTTACCTTTTCAGACGAAAAAGGGAACTTGCCTACTTGTGGAACTGATAAATATTGCATTTGGCAGTTTCATTTTTGCGAGTTTAATGTCGATGAGGATGTCTTTGCTCGTGATTCTATTGAGCTTTCGAGGCAAAGTGGGATTGATTTCAAGAAGAACAATGAGAAGGGTATTGATGCGATGAGATTTGGTGAGCTTTTAATATCTTCAGGGATTGTTTTGAATGATAGCGTGCATTGGATTACTTTCCAGAGCGGTTACGATTTCAGTTACCTGCTTAAGGTGTTGACTTGCCAGAATTTACCAGATACACAAGCCGGGTTCTTTAAATTGATCAATATTTACTTTCCCACGCTCTATGATATCAAGCATTTGATGAAGTTTTGTAATAGCCTGCATGGTGGATTGAACAAGCTCGCAGAGTTGTTGGAAGTTGAAAGAGTCGGGATTTGTCATCAAGCGGGTTCGGATAGTTTGCTCACAGCTTGTACATTTAGGAAACTCAAGGACAACTTCTTTAGTGGTACTCTGGAAGGTGTGTTGTATGGTTTTGGTGTTGAGAATTCTCATTGATAATGAGAAGTAATAGGGGGACAAAATTGGATAACCTTTTGTTGTCAGTATGAGTGTGCCTCATACTAACACTTCAATATACTCTTCTGGCAACAATTTTCGTAATTTTTTAATATTTTCGTATGCTTATTATATTCATTCTTCTTTCACTGCACCACAGCTTCTATAGTTTATACAGCTACTAATGATGCGTTTATGTGAACATATCTTGTGAGAGCAAATTAAGTGAATGATGGAATATAATCTTTATTTAAACAGTTTTAGCTATGTATTAGCACAATATTTATGCCATTATCTATGAGCTGCTTTTGTTGTTGCATAAACCTAAAGGCTAAAATAATACCTTTTGATTCAGTTTAATGTGAGAATGTTTCGGTTCTTGTCTCAAGGTCCCTGTATTCGTATATATCATATTGTCCTGAACGAGATTACTTCTCATGTTGTTTTGCTTTAAATGCCCTCATCTCTGCATCCCTCCCCTCACTTTCCTTTCCATCTATCTGCATCTTCTTCTCCACTTTTCCTGGATTGTCTATACATTGCATAGGCCTTGTATGTTTTCCGCAACTTGCCTGTAGACACATCTATCCATAAAGAATTGGTATACAGTCTGATAAATAAGTAAAAAGAGCCACCATTTGATGAAGATTTATTTGGAAGGGGTCATGTCATCTCTTTGATACGTGTATTGACATTTTCTTTACTTTCGTACATGCAGTGCCAGCTAAATCACAGGTTTTCTTTTGTTAATATCAGATTGTGAAGTGATAATTTATGCAGTTTTTGACCTTTAATAACAAATTATTCACTGTCTTCATTTTCTCGGAGTTTAAGAAATAGTTGTTATCATCAGCCTCTTATTCTTATCCTGATGTGCCTGCTAGTTTTATGCTTGTGAGTGGTGATGAAGCCTTGATCTAAGTATAAGGTTGATCTGTATAGGTAAGATCCATTTAGTAGGTTCTTTTCTCAAGGGATGAGATTATGGACCTTGCGGTTTTGGAAAAATGGATCCAATCTGACATCTGCTTGAATGCTTTCTGTTGTAACTTGTCAATTCGATCGGAAACATTAGTGACAAAATTTAAAGTATTTATAATTTGATGACAAAAAATTTCAATTTTTTTAATATATTTTTAGGTATTTTTGTATTTTATATTAGTGATCTATTATCATCTCTAAAATCTTAGAATTTTAACATAAATTCTGAAAAGTTTACACCCTGATATAAAATCATACTCCGTCCCTGTGTACTGGTCTATTGATATCAAACCATCAAAGGATTCAAAAACAAGCAAAGTTGTAGAGTTTACATTTTATGGATTATGAAAATGCAAACAGATTAACAACTGTGAAAGGAAAAAGTCGTGCCAGTTCATGTTTCAGCGATGCCTTTGATCTTATTCTGGTGCAGTTGCTGAGTCTTACAAATATAGTTAATCAGAAAACAAATACAGTCAAAGAAGCTCACCAGCATTTACATTTAGCCTACAGTATCTTGATAAACATGATTCATTTCCAAAAGGGTGAGCTTATTCAGAATCACAACAGAATGTCTGTCATTAGCTAATTGTCTCCATGAACCTGGTGCAATTAGGATAACGGTTTTGCACGTGTAGCCAGATTTTCAGTCGATTCGATGTGGATCATAAATAGATATCCTAGTGACCAGAGGAGAATGTATTGTAAGGGTACCCAAGACAGGCATGCAACAAGACTCATGCTGCTCCCAACATATTGGGGATCTTTAATATACCCGAAAGGGAATTCCGTCACCCATGGAATATTCTTTCCAAAGCGTACGCTAGTAAGTTCCCGATTCACCAAGCAACTGGTACACCCTATAAAACAGAATTCAAGTTCACTTCTTCTACACTCGAAGCAACATAGCACCAAATCAATCCAACTCATTCCAAATGAAGCCAATATACCCACACAATTGACATTCCAGAACAATATGATATACAGAGAAATACAAAGTGACAAACAATATAAACTAGTTTTGCTTCCATGCTAAGAATAATAGTTTGGATTTTGGACATCAAATAACCAGTGCTCTACATCCCACCCGGGTCAATCAAATTGTCACTACTCCCTGCATCTTAAGGATCATGTTTAAGATGTTTATCCAAAGAAGCAAATCAGGCACCATAATAATAGAAGGCAAACAACTCTTACAGCGATGCCTCGACATCTAAAGTGACAGTTCAATAAACTTTCTCCCCCCAGATTTCAAGATAAGAGAGTTCTGGATGATCAAATAGTCAGATCAACAATATTATATACATCCACAATCATTTGCCAGTACAAAAGAAATCAAAATCTTAATCCTATAGGAAAACATAGTAAGACACTAGAAGCCCCATCATATATAGAAAAACAAGCATGCAATAACTTAGGGCTTTCCACCTAGAGAAACCTTCACCGTACATTTTCGAATTCGGGAACACTAGCCATCCAATTGAGTAAAACTAGCACCCTTAACATATGGTTAATCGAAAATTATCGAGTAAAACAAATAATTAACAAGCTTTAGAATCTATTTATTTAAACTTATGTGTTTGTATGATTTCTTTAAGCACCTCACCTTCAGCTATTTGCTCCTTGGACTTGGAAAATCATATTGCAAATTCCAGAACCCATTGATAACAATAATAGAAAACACCCAATGATACATAAACAGAGAGAGATTAGGTGACGGACCTGAAGTTGAGGAACTGACCGAAGGCAAAGAGGGGACAAAAGTAGAGAGGGAGAGGCCAAGAGAGGGAGGAAACTGAGAAGAGAGAAATGAACTGAATGAGCTTCATGAAATGGGAAACAAGAGCCATTACCTTTGATGGGTCTCTTCCTTTCCCACAAAGGTTCACCCATGACTGTGGGTATGTCCATAACATGTAGTAAAATGGGAATGGCACCAACACCCCTATGCCTGCCGAAACGCCCATCTTTTCTTTTTCTCCTCTGGGGGAAAGAAATGTGATTTTCTGCTTTGTTGCCTGCTAGGTTATACGTTTTGATGTCTGTTTATTGGGTTTTAAAGGTTTGTTTTTGGGCCTTTGTGGAACTTTACTTCTTCTTCTTATTCTTCCATAAAAATCGAATTCAATTCTCTGCATATGTTCTTCTGAAAATTTGATACTTTCCCCAGCCATGGAAAAGATTTTTGATGAAATTGGCACATATGAAACTTAAGGACTGATGAAATCCTTCAAATTGTCAATGATTCCAGCTGCTAAGTTCTCATCTTAGATTATGAACAACAGACTTGAGGATTATCAAATTCTCTGGCAGACGACGGACATTAAATTATTATTTTATGAATAAATTATTTTATTTGTTTTATAGGTTTGGTTGAGTTGGGATTCTAAGAGCATATAGCTAAGAATATAGCCAACTAATATTTCATTTTTACAAAGGATTAAGCAAATGATTAAATATATCAATATTGTCATTCAAATTTCATTTGAATTTTATCCCGCACTGAATCGAGATTATAAAATTTAAGTTGAATTAAATATAATTATTTGAAATTATGTTTAAATTATATTTAAAATGTTATGGTATCAATTGTTTTTAATTAAAATAATTTTTTTAATCATATATATATATATATATATCATATTTTGTCATACATATAAATAAATTTTATAAAGTTATTTAACAAATAGACTAAACTTATATGATATATTTGTAATGTTATTTTTCTGAAAAAATGAATTTTGAGTAAAAAGTATTGATACGGTACATAGGAATTAAATGAAAGAAATTATAAAAGAGTTATATTTGAAAGGTCAAATTGAATAAATAAAAATGAAAATAGAGAGATTAGAATATAAAAATAGAAAGAATATTGTAAATAACAAAATTAAATTTACACGTATATTTTGTAATTGTTGAAGAGTATATGCTTTCTGATTTGATAAAAAGATTTTTGTATAAAACTATTTATAGTTGATAACTTAAACATATCTGCAGTTTATGAGATTACGACAAATAATTATCTTTTTTCTACGTGGGAGTAATTCTAAAGTAAAAATATAAAAAGATGTTTGAGTAAATCTCTTTTAATTAATGTTTTAAAAAGTAATTATTTAATCATAAATATTATTAATTTATAATAAATTGATCATCATTCTGTTAACTGTACGTAATAAATCACGGATATGACATGTTAGTGTGTCTCTTTTGACATCATTTATTAACGTAAACCCATGTTGACCGATTTCACCAACTCATGTTCTCTTCGTCTTCTCCATCTCCTCCGATCAAAAGTCCAACGACAACCCTTTGCGCCTCTATTCATGGCCACCAAAACGTCACCTCTATATATCGGATTTGGTATTTAAGACCAAACCGCTCCTTTTTTTCTTCAGAGAACCGTTTCTTCTTTTGAAACTTTGTAAATGCTCGATTTTGTCGGTTTTATTTCATTTTAGTTTGGATGTAAGTTCAAATCTTACAATTAGAAGTCCAGCCTATAGAGCCCAATCGTTTCTACAAAAATTTTTGTGTTGTGGGGATGGCACGGACGGAGAGAGGCAACGTTTAAGTGGCAATGAACAAAGGTGGAGAGGGTAAAGAGATGAAAAAAAGTGAAAATGTTTAAGAATTTGGGAAAGATAAGCTTAGAAAAAAAATGGTGAATTAAAGAGAAAAAAAATGGTCTCTCGGCGTTCCCCACAAATGAGGCTATTCCTATGGCTGTTTTACAAATAGAAACTTATGACCAACCATGGGAGATTTCGAAGATCCATTGGCCATCTTCCCTGCTGTCCGATTTGTCATGATCGCCAGGAAACCATTATCCATGTGTTGCGTGATTGCATATCTACCCGTGTTGTTTGGACCATTATGATTCCTCAGTCCATGGCTGATGGCTTCTTGCATTTGAATCTGCAGGATTGGCTCTCGGTTAACCTATATTCTCACACAACAGTAACGCAATGGAGCTTAAATTGGCATATTTTTTTTTTGTCTCGACCCTCTGGCAAATTTGGAAGAATCGTAATAATAAGGTTTTTTCTAATATCTCCCCCAGACTAATGTTGTTTGTAACATGAGCATAACCTGGGCTCGTTTCTATACTGAAAGAAATGTTTTTCCCGTCTCTGAAAGTGTTCCTACTACTGCCCATGCTCACTGGAATGGTCTGGATCAAGGCTGGATATGCTTGAACGTAGATGGCGCAGTTTCCAATCAATCAGGTCTGGGAACGATTGCAGGAGTGTTCCGAGACTATGAGGGATCCTGGATGCTTGATTTCAACAAAAAGATTGATGTCACGCGACCCCTTCAAGGGGCGATCTATATCAGCCTTCAGGTTTATTGGGAGAAAGGCTTTGAAGTTCTCTCGATCCAAACTGATTCTCTCGAGGCAGTTCACTCACCTCCTAGAAGTAACAGATGTTATGTCTAGCTCCCTCTCTCTTGTTCGAACCATTACCAACCTCCGTCGGAAAGCTTGGGTAACAAATATTCAATGGACTCCTCGTCGGAATAATGCCCAAACAAACGCCTTAACTAAGCTTGCTGACTCCGGTGACTATAGTACTATTAAGTTTACTTAATATTGATAAGTCCAACTGCGTTTGATCATTGATGCAAGGCTTTCCTTATGTTTTCATCTTTCTTAATTCAAAAAAGGCAAAAAAATGGTCAGAGTAGGCTAAAATAATCTCACGTGATCAAATAATGTTAAAAAAGTCGGACAAACATACTAAATCAATATTCCGTTACTCCAATTGCAGCTAAGAGTGCAATTTATTCTAAATCGATAATATTAATAATCATTTTTTTACTTTTAAAATATAAGTGGTGAAAAGAAAATTTTATTTAAATATTAATGACCATTTATATTGTTTATTCAAACTAGCAACTGATTGAACTGACACACGTATACATGCAACATATATTAATCTCAGTCTTTGATTTCCCCTCATCCAATGATCTTAAAGTGGTGTAAAAATTTGGTGTAAGTGGATCCTAACCACATATATGTGTGTGTGTGTGATAGGATTCTGTTACATAATGTAAAACTCTTTTAATTTTACACAAATTTAAGACCATTAAATAAGTGAAAACATATGACTGAGATTAAAAAGTAGGAAATGTGAAGATATTTACTGAAAAAAATAAAGAGTCAATGTCATCTATCTATTTTCAATCATCCTACGATTATAAATTTGTGTAAAATTAAAGAATTTTACATTGTGTAAGTAAATCTTAACCCTATATATATATTTAGTGCTTTTTTTAATATATCGTAGACTAAAATGAAATCAAAGAAGTAGGTGAACAAAACTTGTTGATGGGAACAAATGGTTAATCGCAACTATAGATGATTTAACCTTTTTTATTTGGATTAAGAGTCATAATCAGTGGTTAGACGACCGTTGGTTGATGTCGAAGTTTTTTTTTTATCTCCACAAGGAAATAGGTAAGATATGAATGAAAAGGAGATGGTTTCATCCCTTCTCTCGATCTTGGTCGAGAGGTTTTACAATGATTCCTAGTGTTGGTGTTAGACATAAAGTCATAATAGTAACTCGTAGGTTATTAGCCTAAGTGTATTTCATTAACTGACAATATATTTGGTTTTGGTAGATCATGTAAGTTTGTCAAATATCATGTTAGTGATTATGACTTTTTGAGGAGCATTAGGTATTTGAGATTCTTTTTTCGGAGGCTTTAAATTGATGGTACATATATGGTATACACAGAGATCATTCGACAAATGAGCAATATTTGTCACTCGTTAATCGAAAAAATGTCATAAAGTGATTTCACTTGAGATTTTGATGTTGAATCATTATGAAATTTAATAAGTCGCAATGATTATTTTTTAAACAACTCAAAGACTTAAAATAAAATAAAAATTATAGTTGAGATATTAAATATGTAATCTACCTATTAATTGGGGTCATGGGGAAATGCCTCTCATGTCCAAGCGTAGGGACGTCCCTTTGTATTGTCCATGCTCCAATTTCATCTAAAGAGGTAGAAAGAGAACATACGAGTCCGTTAAAAGAAAACTTATTCAAATTCTTAGGTTTTTGTATAATGGTTACTTTTAACTTTCATTTTTCTTTTCAATAAATTGTTGAGTAATTTTCTCACAATTTTCTTATTTAAATGTGATCTTTTAAAAATTTATGTGTATGAGTTATTATGATCGTAGTCATATGAATATATTGATTTTGATTATAATTATATTTTAATAGAATATAAAATAAAAATATTTTTATTCGATAATCATATGCATACAGTATTTTTATTCGATAATTTATTTTTCATAAATAATTTTAATCTATCACAATATCTATTAACGAATATTTAAATAAACACTTGTACATAGAGAGGAAAAAATAAAGAGGAAAAACTCCACCATATAAAAATAACTATACTATGAACAGGCATGTGAGTTAGAAATTCTGAATACAAAATAAAACTTGTCCAGGATAAGGTTAGAGTAGAATAAGGTATCCCGACATAACAACCAAACACTCCTAGAGAATTACCTAAGCAGCGGCAAAGCCTTATTAAGATCTGCAAACACCGAAGCAGAGACCTAAAGAGAAATCAAAGTAAGCATAAACGAGAACAGCTAACCCAAGTAGTTAATTGCTTGGTTTAGGGGCGAAATGGGAAACGAAGCAAAAACCGCAAACACCGCCGCCAACTTAGGAGGAGGATTCCGGGCGAGAATGGAGCACTACATATACAGCGGTGAAAAGAAGCACGTTATGGCTGGCATCGCCATCATCGCCTTCGTTTTTGGTGCCCCTTGGTTTCTCATGAATCGAGGTGCATTTTTATCTCCCCTTAATTATTTTTCTTTCAGCTTTGCTTTCACTTTTTGGGTTTTGAATGAAACATTGAACTATATATATTTGCAACCTTGAGACGGTTTTATGGTTACTGTAGACTTGATACACGAAAGCAAAGTTTATATATAGCATCATTGGTTTCTTTTTCTTGTTTGCTTCCCCCCCCCCAATTCCTGTATCGGGTTTACATAAAAGTTAGCAGTTGATTATGAAATTATTGATGGGTTAAATTTCCTGCATGATTTGAGTAAATGAATCTGCTTTTTTTCTTCTTTTTGGAAATGGTTCTAAAATTTCTCTGATGCTAAAGAATCTTTTTGTAGCCTATGGAAACTGGGATCTCATACGTTGTGCAAGTAATGTGATAGAACACATAAATGTAGCATTCATTTTGTTTTCAAATTCATGGTATTTTGGATGTCTATTTCGTAGTAGGTTTAAAATTCATACAGATATTTGTGAATATAAAATCATATGTGCTTTTCAGATGTATATGTATAGTTCTATTCAATCTTAACTAATTTATATATAGTGTATGCATTTCATTCTCACTGTTGATATAGTAAATTGGAATCCAAATCAAATCTTCAAATTTATGTTCTCAAACATGGTATTAAGGGATCAGTCAAATTGGAGGGCATTTGTTTGATGTTGTTTACCAGAGTTTATTTTTATACACAGCTCGTGTTTGGAAAATATGCTAATGAAAAGAAAATGGGACAAAAATGTAATTGCATCAAAAGTTAGGGTTGTTGAAGAACCGTATTAAAGCTAAATTCTTACATTTTTTAACTCATTTCTGTTAGCAACAGACTATCAATCATATTTATGATTGCAATGGTTCTTTTACAGGTTTTAAAATTCAATGTTTTTTATTGAACATAAAAATAATGTCCCAGTTTATGTGGACATGGATCAAGAAACTCATTTCAAAATAACAATAAGCTTGTCTTGATGGCTGTGGATGCTGGTTTATAAGTTGTCCTTTCCTAGGATGTTGTCATCATAAGAAAATTGAGAAATTTAGCAGGCAGTCAAGGCGAATTTTATTCAAAGAGTTTGGCTTATTTTTTTCTCTCCATCCCGTTATAGCAAACCTTAAAATTGCTTTTTTCAGCTAGGGATCATATATGCCCTAGGTTAAGTGTTTTCTGAAGGTAAAAACTTTTAGGTTGCCATGACTTGTGGAGGAAATAGATTTCTTTCTTTTTTTTCTTAAGAGATTATTTGATTTTTGGCTCAGCATACAAATAATGTATAGTTTAGGAGAACTGTAAAAAAAAAGTGTGTTTAAAATAATAGAACTTTAGACTTTTGAGGATAACAGAGTCACAAGCATTGTTTCCTTAGCTTTTTTGTTTGACATGGTTTTAACAGCAGAAGCCCAAATGTTTTATTCATTTAGCAATTAGCATTGGTTTTTCTGTGTAGGGAAGAGCTCATCATCTAAAATCTTGTGTCAACAGCAATGCTAACCGGGTTCTGGATATTAACCTCATCAAGGGGGTCCTATTGAAATGTTTTTGATTGACAATCGTAGGAAAGTTATGCGAGGATAACAAATTTACCCAACTTCCAAGATGTCATGTTGCATTCTAAGTGTTTAATACTCTAGCTGCTTGTGGATATTTGCGGTTACTTTTTCATTTTCTTAGAGATTCTTTGTTAATACATTGATCACTTAAACTGATCAAACAAATGATTGATTTTCCTTGTAGGAGCAAAGCATCAGTCACACCAAGATTACATGGAAAAGGCTGACAAAGCAAGGAGTCAACGACTTTCTTCTTCAAAATAAGTCAAGTTCTTCGATCCTTAAGCAACTTTTTGAGAGCTGGAATGGAAGCTTATACTTCATGATAATCTGTTTTATGTCCTAGACAGTTGAAAACCTTGATTGCTGAAAAAAGGGGGAAATGGCAAAAATAATAATATACTTGCTAGATGTTGTTTGAAAAAAGAAGTCATAGAACAATCTGATCACTTTCAAGGTCAACATTTGTTTCGTATTTGTGGTTATAATTTTGCTTAGAAATGAGAATGTTGCCCCCTGATGTTTTGACCAAATTCACTTTATTGAGGAATAAATTATCAATCAAACTTGAGGCTGATTTAGCTTTATATTATAAGTATACTTCGTTTTTTTTTCCTTTCTAATACAATAACTAGACTTTGCTGATCCTTCTTCTCCCTTAAATCGGAGGATTTTGAACGCTTAAGCATGTTCAATTGAATGTGCTTTTGTATGTTGCACCGGTAAAGATACCAATCGAGTTAAACTCATTTATCCTTAAGCTTTCTTGTTTAAGTAATTATTATTTATTGTGTCATGTTTAGTATTTTACTTTAATGGGTTATGATGTATTCGAGTTTAATATATTTATTCAATTGCGCAATTGGTTTAGACGACATTAATTCCATACGCAAAGGATACTCTTCACCGTGTGTTTAATTGAAAAGAAAGATGATGTGGAATATTTTTGATAATTTTCCAGTTAAAATCCTTTCGGTTTATCGATATACTGATTCAAGAGACTGTTTCACGCAAGTTGATTTCTAAATCTGATGACTTGGACCATCAACCAGAGTTCCAAGTAATCAGTCTAAAACAAATAACATCTTTTTTTTTTTTTGAATCATCAGAACTCGTCACCTCGCATATTCCCTGATAAAGGACCAATATGAGACCCCTTTAAGTGACCAAAAAGGACAATATCGGATGCCTGTCGGAAATGAGAATAACCAGTTAGCTGGAGGTGATAAGTCCCATGTTCTACTACCAGATCCAGTCATGCTCGGCAATGGCATCGTTTTCTTCCTCCAACTTACATTTGCAGTGAAAGATGACCATGCAATTGTACAAAAGAATGGACTCCAAAATGAGAGCTTTCTGTTTTGGTTTTCTCAAGTTTCCCTATACATCTCAGGGTACATAAAACAATTATGCCAAAATTACTGCTCTCTTCTTCATAGTTTTCTTTTTCTTTTCTCATAGGGGCATCAGTCTTCTGTACTTGAAGAACCAAATAAATGCACAAAATATGATGATCCCAGAAACCCCAGTAATTATGAGGACCCACTTAAATGCACCAGGCTCATCAAACATTGGTATCAGAAAGTTCATGCCAAATATTCCTGCTACAACCCCAAATATAGCAACAACAAAGGTCGCAGTTGTCAGCAGCAGTTCGAACTGGATCAGCTGGTTTCGAACATTATCCTGCAACCCAAAGTTTGTCCTTAGATATATATAAAAAAAATCCAATGCTTTTTTTGGCAATTTGTCACAATCCCAAATCATGGCATCAGGAAATATGAGAGAAAGAAGGCAGACTAGATTTTTAGAATATAGTAAAATTATAGGCCCTACAATCATGTTTACAAGGTCATTATAAACATATTATAAACATAGAAGGACGCATGATTTTATGTTGGGGGGCGAAATTTTAAAATTTTAGGAGACAAACTTATAAAATTTCAGGGGGTACGAAAACAGATTATCAATAGAAAATACAAAGAAAATATATAAAATACATAATAATTTGAAATCTTAAGTGGTGACTGCCCCCAGCCACCACCCTACTATCCATCCCTGATTATAGACCTGGCAAAGATACAATTTTTTTCATCCTATTAAGGTTTCCATTCTAAGAAATTTTCAAGAAATGAATTAAGGTAATCGGAAAATTAATATATCAGTTGGAACCATTTGGATTCAGGGTTCCAGTTGGGTAGGTGTAACCTCAAAGCCACCGTGCATCCAAAGAGAGCTTTACAGTTTTATCTTCTCCACTTTAGGGTCGTGGAAAATAATACTTCAATAAAAAATTTTCTATCAATGAAATTAAATAGCATACCAGCTGAATGTTGATGAAATCCTCTGTGTCATCAATGTATTCTTTCAACTGAAACAAGAAGAAAATAGTATTATATCCGCCCAAGAAATGGGGAGATGAAAAGGATATAGATCACAATAAATGCTTTACATACCGAAGTCAACTTATTTAGGGTGCTGTCAATGAGAACGAAGTATGCTTCCAGTAACATCTCAAGCTCTTCAATATTCTCTTTAGTGCTCTCTGAACTCCTCATGCTCCCATGGCGGCTCCTTGCTATGCTGAGGCTTCTCTCCAGCCTGCGAAATTCGGAGGCTGAAGAAACAGGCGAAACTGGAGCAGAAGAAGAAAGGCCATCATTTGATCTCATTTGATCACCATTGAATGATGATTCCATCCTGCTCTTCTTCTCGGTAAGATACATTTCCGCCATATCTCCATCATCATCCATTAGCTGCTCTATCTCATCTCTAACCTAAATAAATACCCAAAGGGTGGGGAAGTATCAAAAGATGCAAGGCTGCCATTCACCTGCCAAAGAGAGAGATGCAAATACTTTATACCTTCTGAACTCTTCGAGTCAATGCAACGAGTCTGCTCTTCAATCGGCGGACACGCTCCAAGTTTAACGTACTGATCTTTGATGTAAGCTCATCCAGTAGTGGATATGCTTCAATTTCCAATTCTGCTGCCTTCGGAACATCAGATGACTTATCAACTTGCTCAAAAGTAATCAAATGTAACCAACAGTACCAATTGATAATAAGAAAGGTGATAATTCCTAAAAAAGCGCGCTGTCGAACAACTAGAACATTGACATGGTTAAAATATAATAACAATGTTCCAATTGATTGAGCAATACGAGTGCTACATATAGCTTTCAAAACCAGTAGGTGGTTGGTAGGATCTCTCATATGGGTTGAATCATAAAATTGACTCGTACAGCTTTGAGCGGTGAAGGATTAGTTGTTAAATTTGATAGTTCAACTATCAGAGAAAATCCACACATTTTCATCTGATAATTCCACTGATCCGTCAAGATTGCTAAAATCCTTTCTCCTCTTCGAACATAATAAATACTTGGGAGGGCTTAAAAGAAAGTTAAAAAAACTAGATATCCTAGAGGACTTCTATAAAAACAGGTGACAGCACAACAAACTATGATAATAGCATTAAAAGTAAGGATACAGAATTGTAAAAATATTCTCACTACAAAATGATAGGCAGTTTTGTGACAGAGTTATGGCATTTTGGCTGGGACAAACAACCAACTTTATTTTAAGAGAAACAAGAAAATGAAGCTATCCAAGTCATCCAAGATTCAAGAGGAGGATGAAGGGGAAGGGGGGGGGGCAAAATATAGGCTGGTGCATATTTCGATTATTTGAATTAATTCTTTTTAAACCTACATAAATTTCAAAACTCAAGGTTCTGACTGCTGTTTATTCAACAACTAAAGAGGTTTTTGAGTTTTGACAATCCAACTTCACAGCACCGCTTCTGGAATCCACCATCACAGGTGATCATGATCTCTCCAGTAGGGGTTCATTGAGTTGTTGTCCCCACACAAAAGAAATGCTAAATTCTAAAATTTTCAATATTCATGATAGACTATCAATCTGCAGTCTCATCAAGTAATTTCCACTTCGATATGTTGTCACTACAGTAGAATATAAGGTTCATCTAGATACAAAGTTAAAGAAAGCTGGTGAAAAATCTACAATTGTCTCATCCCACTTTCAAGATATCTCTTTCCCCAGACAGTTAATATTTATTGTGACTTCAACAGAAAACAAAATTCCTCCACATAAACGTTCTGAGAATGGGTGAAAATGTCAAACATACCATCTTTAGACATACAAATATATTTTTCCAATGGTTAGTGAATGATGTCCGTGATGTCACAGCTGTTATAATCCAATAATCCAATATCCCAATGAACGCATTTGATCTCATAGATTATCACTTAAGCAATGGGCAGTTAAAAACAATAGGCATTGCATAACAGATAATGCACCAATTCCTACATTGTTTGGCAGAAGAATGCACACAGATATGTGGAGTTACCAAAAAATAATTCAATTTGATTAGATAATGCATAGGAATTCCTATTCACTTTACATTAAAAGGTCAGAGGTACAGATCAATAAGCATTGAAAAACAGCTGAGAAATTATTCCCAGATAACATGATGTTAGAGAGCTTAAATAAGATGAAAGGATTCAATTCTTGAACTTGTGGAGAAATTACTTCCTATTTCTTCACCTCCCCTATCTCTCAAGAGCTTTTGAAGGAAATGATATTAAGGTTCAAAGCTTGGAACTCGAAGAAAAGAGTTGTCCATGATTGCCTTTCCTCTAACCTACGAAACTAGAGGTGGATGAAAAAATTCACCTTGCCTACTTGGCCCGCAAGACACAGCAGAAGCCCAAATCAATTAGCCAACATTGACCCAAAGTCCTTAGACCAAAAACTGAAATGGCTAGGATTCAAACAGTTCTCTAATGGAAATCTTAATCTGTAACAGGGAGCACACGAAAATTCGATTTTAAAAAATCCTTCTAGATAGAAAAAGGAAATATATTTTATACTACAGTAAGGCTAATGTGAGACTTTGCTCAACAATCATGTGTGTGTATGAAGAAAAGAGCTTTGGCTTAATGCAAAAGTAAGTGCCCAAACTATATTCAAAATTAACTTTAGGTGCCTAAAGAATTTTTCGTTAAAAGTAGGTGCCTAATGTTTCCGACGTTACACTTTTACGTGTCTACTGTTAACGGTCGAATTTAACGGTGATAACGGTCCAGGCACCTAAAAGTGTAATATTGGAAACGTTAGGAATCTATTTTTAACAAAAAATTCTTTAGGCACCTAAAATTAATTTTAGGTGTAGTTTGGACACTTATTTTTACATTAAGCCATGAGCATATTTGATTATAGCAGCTAGATACGGAAAAAGAAAACGTTCTTCTCCCAGTCAGTTATATTAGATTATAAGTTATTATGATCAAACAGAATAATGATGAAAAACCCAGCCAAAGGTAACAACATGCAACATTTTTCATGACCTGCTCTTAGATACCTTATTTATTTTCCTTAATTTTTACATAGCTCGACATCCCCTGCAATCAAAAAGCAAATCTGCATTCGATACATATTCCAACCAATTGCCTCTTTTTTTTATTATTTTTTTAAAATGCCAGCAAGAGAAATTTGATAGTTAACCACAAAAAGGAAAAGAAACTTTATGTTATGGTTATGAAGAGGGGTGGGAAGATGAGGGGACAGAGAGAGAATGATGTTGAGTCTAAAAATTATAAATGTATAAAACATTAATCAATTTGAAAACCCTAAGACTTGTTCATGCTATACTACTGCTATTTTATGGTTCAGTCTCCAATTCGTGAATTAAATAAAAAAAAATCAGTCCCACCGTTTTTCAGCATGATATATTCTCAGTTGAGATTCTAGGTCTACAAGTTCATAATTAGAAATACCATTCTTTTATCGTCCCTCATTTAATTGAAACGCAATAAGACTTTTTAGGCTACTGTCACATACCTGTGAGTCAAGGAACGTACAGGCAGCTTCCAAAGCGACTTCAAGAGCCCTAAACTCGAAGGGCAAATAATCAGGGGACGTGCTCCCATATGCATTGTCAAAACCCCTACTGCTCCTTCTTCTGCTCAACTCAGGACCCTTCGATTGCCAAACCTCACCTACTCCACTTGTTAACCGCCTTTGTAGCTCCACAACATACTGCAAAACATAGCTATCAAGGGAATTCAAGAGTAGAACCTCATCGGCAGTGATTATACACCGTATCTGCTCTAAATTTACAACAATAGCCTTTTCTCTACCAAGGATTGTCGAGGGGTAAACAAAAAGAGGATCAAGAAGCCGTAGGTCCCGTGCCGGTAGATCACATCGACGCATCATAGTGAACTTGTCAACCTCAATTATCTGTGAACTCCCAGATGTATCAACACGGATCCAAGATCGAAGTCCTTGGCCACGCTTCTTTAACCCTGATAAATCCATGCCTTGGAAAGGTTGGTGTCCAGAGGCAGATGGCCGATAAGAAGCATCTCTAATGTTTATAGCTGATTGAGGTCTCGGTGGAAGCAATCGCTCTTTTAGGTTCGCCATCACAATATACTGAAACAAACAACAAAACAAGTTAACCACAAGACTGTATAAACAAGTTCTGAGGGAAACAAAAGGATAAAAAAATGGCTTTAGGTCTCAAGAAGCTCACACTTCCAACAAAAGTCTAAAGAGTAATTATTTTTATCCTACTATCAAACCCAAGGGCCTTTTTGCTTCATGCCCTGAATACAATTTCAGAACTAGATTAACCACGTTCATTAATCCATCATACAACACATCAATTTTGTTTTGAAACCTGAGATAAAAATCTATTAAACCATGAATAATTAAGCATAAGATACAACTGACAGAGTTCAGCATTGGATATAACCAGTAAATTAGCTTAGTTCCCTCCATAGCCTTATAATTAAACGGAATAGGATCATAATAATATAAATAAAACTGTAGGGCAAAATCCATTAAATTCCAACTCAATGTCAAGTATAATAAAGAAAAAAAAAGAAACAAAAGAACATATCATTCAAGGAGACTAAGTTTACCTCGAACAAATGAAACTGAGATTTTACTCCCAGATAAGCGTGAAGAAGATTTAATCACAGTCCCTAATTGAACAATGTAATATCAACACAATAACAACTGCGAAAAACAATCGGATTGATAAATTAAATTGCAAACAACATGGGGAAAGATTCAGAGAAGTACCTTGACAACAGCGGATGATTGAGTAAGAAGAAGTAAGTCCTGGATGAACTACGAAATTTTCATGAACTATTGATGCTTCAAGTTAATTTAATGAAAACTGTTAAAAGGTAGATGAAAGGCGGTGTGATTTTCACTCAATTAGCTAAGACAATAATCTTAATTAAGAATCTACGATTGAAAGTTTTGGTTTTAATTGGGGAAAAAGGGATTTTTCGATGCCAAGAGCGTTTTGTCGGTGTGTGAGTGAGGTGAGTTTGCGGGCAGTCGTTTTCCTTTCATTTAGTTCTTCCCAAAACTTATCAAACCTCAATAGCCAAATGAATCTGGTCAAGAATCACCTATGAATTGATAAGATCAAAATATAAAACACTCAACCAAAGATTTTATTAATATTAACGGTATAAATGAGTTATTCCCTTATAAGTTTATTAAACCCAGATACTTCTAACTTAAATTAATATCATATAAATGCAATTTCAAAATCATAATTGATCAAAATCGTTTCACACATCCAATATTTTCTAAAATTAATATTTTAACAAACTGATTCATATCCAATTTATATAAGTTATACATGTAAAGTTTCAAATAAATTTATAATGTCTTCTATTTAATTATTATGAAGAAATTTTAATATAATAATAAAAATAATATTATGGATCAACATTTATTAGATTGATTTAAAATCACACTAACATAAAATACAATTATTTATGGGTTCAATTATGAAATCTCTAAAATACTAAAATTTAATTGAGGCAGATAGTTGTGAAGAGTTTAATGAGTGGTATCTAATCGAAACATGTATGTAGTTACAGTCGTGTTTATAGAGGAATCCTTCAAGATGGGACAATCATTGATATTGCATTTTCAGTCAGAGATAAATTGAGGGAGGTGCCATGAAAATATTAATAATCATACATTTTAGATAATTTTTGGTATTTTATATTGATAATCTATTTTATCTTTTTAAAATTTGAAGTTCATCCTAAACATAAAATCATACATTCGTTCTCATTTAATGTGTCAACAAAAAGTTTAAACATAGAATCTGTAAGTTCTGAATAGGAAAGAAAAGGAAGAATACTCGATACAGTGGAGAAATATTAAAAGGAGACCCTGTAACTATCTTTGTATCTGATTCACACGCCAAAGTCTTCGAAACATGCATAAGTGAAGATAAGTAGATAACCCAATAACCTTATCATATTACGAGGCTAGTTCCGCTGTGCTTTTACAAGTAGTATTATATGAAATATACATAATGTACGATTTGAAATTTTCAAGTGGGATCCATACTTAAAGAAAGTATTGCTTAGAGATTATGAATTTTGAGTCTTTGTATTTCTAAATTATATGTGCGTTATGACACATTCTTATGTGGTAGATATACGACAATGTAGATATTCTCATGTCGCTCTTATCTGATTTGTGACTATCGATGGCTTTTTGGTGGTTAATTTTTTGTTTGTGGGGAAGTTTGTCGATATATTCAAACATTTTTAGGAAATAGTATGAAATTTTAGTTCTCTAGCCACTTAACTTCGACTATTATTGCATCTTTGAATTTTCTTTTATGTTTGTTTTGTGCAAATATTCTTTATAATTTTCTCTTTTTATTGATTACATTGTTAAAAGTATATCTTCTTTTATTTTAATAAAATTCAATAACATTTCCAAATTAAAACTAATAAGTTTTACATTAATTTATAGCCATTAGATTTGAATAAATAAATGGCTTAATTTTAATTAAAATTTATAAATCATACATTAATACCTTTTAACTCGCAATAAAATAATATCTCTTATTATGTAAATCTCAAACCCTGAATCTTAAACCTCAAAACTATAAACTCTAAAAACCCCATAATAAAACCTAGACCATAGATCACATATCTTAAACACTAAACCCAAATTATAAACCCTAAACTTAAACTATATTTCTTAAATCCTAAATATTAAACCCCATATTTAATTATTAAACTCTAAGGAGCTGTCTGCTTACTTTAGAATGATTAAGCGCTGAATGATTCAAATGTTGAATGATTCAGAGATTATGTATGAATTAGCTCTGAATGTGACATGTTGTTTGATAATGGTTCTGAATCATTCAGAATGTACTTCTGTGCTGACTAGTTCAGCGAATCATTCAGCATTGTTTTGCTGAACTAGTCAGCACTGAATAATTCAGAGGTACGAAACAAACGCGCTGAAAGTTGAACGGTTCAGCATTCAACGCTGAATGGTTCCATTAAGAGTCAAACAAACAGCCCCTAATTCCTAATTCTTATTCTTAAAAAGAAAAAAATATTATTTAAACGTGTGTTAAATAAATATTTATTTATGAGTTATAGTTTTTAATCAAATATAAGTCAATTATTTATTTAAATCTAATAATTATAAATTAGTATAAAATTTATTAATTTTATATATCTCTACATATAAAACTCATTATATACGAGCTAGTACTAACATAAATATATTTATGTTGAAAGCAAAGATTTAAATAGTGATTCACAATCGTAAGAGTATCTTTTATACAATAATAAAATTATCTTTCACGATTATTATTATATAACCGCGATACTCACAATCACAATAATACCACACACTATATTTGCAATCGGGATGATACACGATGGTAATTGTAATTTAAATCCTTGGTTGAAAGTAGAAACCTAGTATGAAGCTAAGCCGAGCCGAGCTGCTTTCCACCCTTCACAGAAAATTAAGAAGGCGGGAAAATCTACGTGTGCGCGAGCGGAAGTTCAACCACATCCGACCCTGTTACTATTCGCGTTCTTAGGACGCCTGATTAAGCCACTTGTTCAGATACCTTAGGTCTTTTTAATAAGAAAACTTTTATTATAACAACGATGGTACACTCCCAGGCCCAATGACGTGTCGCTTCTCGACTGGGGATTCGAGAGTGAGCTCATCAAATGGGCGGTGCATGGGAAGGCGGGCCCCACATAAGGGGACGTGGTGAGTTCAAAGAAGACACGTAGGACCCACGCCGAACCCTTTAAAAACCCCTGAAGAGCCCTAAGGCCTAATCCACCCAAACCAAAAGAAAGAGAAAAAAAGCGCTGTGTACTGACTGGTAAGAGTCCTTTCGAGTTCAAGGCTCTCTACTGTTTGCTTCAAATTCAATTTCATCAATCTATCGCATATTCGATTGTTTTGATCTTTTTTGTTATTGCATCTTAATTCTTTTTTCCTTTAATTTCCTCCATGATTTGTGAATACTGATATTTTTTAAATTTGAATTGATAAAAATTTGCGTTTGTATGTGTGTGTTTTCTTTAATGGGGTTTACAGTGTTTGGATTGCTGATATCAAATCTCTGATCATATCTAAATTTGTAATAAAAACGAGTATACAAATTTAGCGTAGCCTTTTAATCCCTTAGCATTAAGATATTGATGGCTGAGTTTTTCAATTTATAGAAATTAATTTTCATTTAGAATGGTTTTCTGGTTTTATAGGCTCAAGTTTCCGAAAGTTTACAATTTTTATACTTAATTGGTATTATAACTACATTGTCAAGTTTTACTTTAGTATTTTTCATTTGCAAAATGCTATAGAAACCCTGAGATGAAACCAATTTTTTGCAAAGAAAACCAAATGCTTTTTTGGACTAGAAAGTAGAAGTGGCTGCAATGTGCTTGATTTGTTTGCTGAAGAGATATATAATCTGTTATTGCTTGCCTTATATGTAACAAGAAATACGAGTCATAAATTTAGTAGACAGCTGCTTATGTCTTGCCTTAATTTGGAACAGACTAAATATGGGAGACGAAAAGTCGAACAATGAAGATAAACTGCAAAAGTCTGAAGAAATTGGATACCAAAGTTTGAGTAACGAGAGTAATGAGCCCGTCTGCTCTACTGGGATAAGTGATGTTGGAACTGTTGATGTCCCCTTAAATGTTTTGTCAAACTACCCTTCTTTTTGTATGAGAGATATGTCATTAGTTGGTGTTGATGGGATGAGGAGTGCCCCCCATCTTGACAGCTATCAAAATTTCGCAGTTTATCCGCATTTGTTGAACAGGATTGATCATATGCCTTCCCAATATTCACCTCTTGAAAATATGGATGCGAATACTGAATATTTACAAACCGACATTTGGGATATCAAAATGGATGACGGTAATTCCCAATCACTTGAAAATTCCATGAGATGTGGAAATAAGGAACATTTGTTACGGGGTGCTCAAGATGGCAGCGAAATGGGAAGTAATGATACTTTGGTTGACTGTGTGGTTCAATCTAATTACCCTGAAAGTCTAGATGGGAGTTTTCTGACTCTAGGTATTGGAGTTGATAGGGAGGCCAGGTCAAATTATAATAATGGGGCTATCAATATGCAGTTAAATCAATCCCATAGCCGAAGTGATTATGGAAGTTTCTTCTCTTCTGATTTTAAAATGGCAGCAGGTTTATCAGATTTCCAAACCTACGCCGCTGGACTTTCAGGCATAGAAGAAAATGCAGTTGGATTGTCCAGTTTAAAACATACTTTTGGTGGACTTCCAAGTATTGTGCAGAATGCAAGTGAATCATCCAATGTGAGTGCATTAACTGGTTCATCACCAAATGTTGATAGTTGCACCTTTTCTACATATGATTTCAGATTTGCTGCTAGTACTATCTCCAACCTTAGTTCAACTTCATCACAAATGCTACCAATTCCCCAAAGCCATGTTCAACATCCTTTCCTGTCATCGGGCAATCGAAAATTTAATGCTGGATTTGCAAATATGGATCCAAACAAAGCACTTCATGGCCTTTCTGGCATGTCTTCAAATGGAGAGCATATTAAAAGCCATTCTGAATTGCTTCCTAATCAAAGCTTTCCTACTGTTTCTGGTTCATCATCAATAGTGCATAGTTGCGGCCAATCTGGACAACCTTTTCAAGCTTCCTTGCCTTCTTTATCTTCTTTTGTGAGAAGCAAATATGCTGCAGTGAACTCTGATCAACTACAAAAGTGTGATATTGGAAGTATACCGAGCTTACAGAGGGGAACATCTGTATCTTCTGTTCTTGGAAACATTGAAAACACTAGCAGCCGGTCAGGTGAGTTATAAATATTTCAACACTCCTTTTATTGCACAAAATTGTGCGCAATATATCAGTAGATCAGCTGATACTTGAATTTAATTTAATTTTTCAGAAACGAAAAAGATAAAAAAATCATAAATACTGAGAAAGTAGTTCATTTAGAAAGCTATATGCAGTTGGCATAGTGATTGTTTTGGTTACTTCTAAATTTTTAATGTTTTATAATGTCCAAGTCTAAATGTTTATATATTTGCAGTCAGCATCTATTTTAAGTTTTAATGAAATTTCTTAAGGTCTCTTTCAAATCCAAACAGATTTCTCTGATGCTGCCTATTCTAGTTTATATTGGCTAAAACTGCATGTGTGATTCTGCTCTATTAAATGTAAAAGAAATTACAAGTGCCTGCTTTATTGAGATAGTGAATCAACTTATTTTCATCATAACTGCTGAAAAGCATGATGGTGATAATAGCTCCCTCTAGTTGTGCTCAGGAATTTACATTTCTAAGAGGCTGGATAGATTGGTAATAGTGTAAGAAATCTTAATATATGAATAAAAAGTAAAAACAAATAATTGCAAATAATGTCATTAAAACTGAAAAGGTTTTCCTTTTCTGATTAATAAACTTTCCAGCACTGAAAATGACAAATTGAATTGGTGGACTTGAGCTTTATCCTTATTTTGGCCAAAATCTGTCTTGAGGTTATAAGCTTAAATGATGGCAGAAAAGTGTCAAGGTCTAAAACAGAAGTAATTTGGTGGTATTCCGGTCTTAGTGCGCACAAGTAGGCAATCTAGCATTGCGTTTGAAGTTTTGAAGGTAAAAGAGTTTAACAAACCAGTGGAAAGGTGAGGAAAGCAGAATAGACTGGAAAGTTAGCATACTTCAGAGAGCTTATACATGATTACCACTATGCCTTAATTTGAAACATTATGAAATTAAAATGTGAATGTTAAAAGAAGGATCACACCAATATCATTAATGCGGAGTACTCTACCATCAAACACAGATGTAAGAGAATCGAAAGAGTGATATTTTGGGTGGATCTGCTAGACCCTGTACCTTCCCTTTTGACATGGACTCCTAAAGTAGGGTAGATCAGAACATTTATTATATTTTTATCAATTCGCCTTTTCTCATAAAGTAGATTGAAAAATGACTGGATGTCTTATGATCAGATTTTGCTGATGGTAGCAAGAGAAGTATTGCTCAATTGAAAAATGGTAGGGAGCAACAAAATTGAGCAAAAATTTTCTTTGACCTATGTTGATCACTTAGAACTGAAAAAGATGTGCAAAGAATATGATTTAATGCTTTATTGAGATCCTATATTTCAAAAGGTTGAAATTGAACAAGCCTTTTCTCTTAGCACTAACCTTTTTGCTTCATGCTTACGGTATAAGAATACTAATGGTATTTTGGCGGACTGATGTTGAGAAAAATGCAAATGACCAGATGCTTGTTAGTACACAGCAATAAACTTCTGCTGCACTGATTACTAAATGTGTAGAATCACAATTTTTTTTGTTCTGCTTACGGTCCATTAGTGACTAAGCTCTTTGTATTTTGATTAAATTTTAAGATGTGTGGCAAGATTATCCTGCTCACCAGGATGCTGCTATTCAAACTGTTGAAAAAGCTCTTTTCTCAAAGAGGATACAAAACCAGTTAGCTGGTAAAGGTATTTCCTCCCAATTCTTGCTGACTATACCCCACTAAATCTATCTGTCAATTTTATATGGCATTTCTCTTGCGGTCTCTGCATTCTTTTAAAGATGGTAATCTGGTCATATTTCTGAGCGGACTTTTTGGTGGCTACCCTTTGAATGATATATAGTTTGTTTTGATATTTGACTCGAGTGTCCAATACCTCTGCTAGGAATTCTATGTCTTAGTATTAGAAACTTTTATTTAGTTTGATTTCTAAACTAAGCATCTTCTAATCTAGTCCTAGAGACTCTGTGCTGAATAACACCTGCTCTTCCACTGCAGATCAGCTTTCTGCTTGTGATAGAAGTGCCTCTCAAGTTGCTAGCATTTCTCCCTTATCCAAGAATTTTTCTGTTCAAACAGCTAGGAAAAGTACCCATCATGCATCTATATTAGCACTACAACTTGAATTTGAATCTATTGTAATTGATTTTCCCCTCTTTTACTATTGGCAACAGTATAATACAGTATAATCACCCAGAAGTGTAGCTTATTCTTCACCACTGGCAGAGTACAATGATTGTCAATAACTAAAAATAATGCACTTTTCTCTTTACTTCTTTTAATCCAATGATGTTCTTTGGCAACTAAAACTACTTTTTTTAAATATTTTATCTACCCATGTATCCTCATCTCCTCCTCATGGCTTAAGATTCATACTGAGTACTGACTTCAATGATTTTTTCCCCTTGTAATTGTTATTTTCACAAGTTAATGTCATGTTTCTGAATTGGTCTCTAAAGTTCTTACACTGGAACATCTTAAATGGAACTGTTTTTTTTTTCTTTTTTTCTTTTGAAGTCTTTTAGTTATAGGATTAGTAATTATTACTGTAATTAGGTATATCTTTTCTTTTCTGTAGTGCAGCCATTCTGAATTGTACCTGACACTCTTTGCAGATAAGCTTTCTACCACTGATGGAAATGCTGCTGAAGTTGTTAGCATTCTTCCATCTTCTAACAATGTCGGATTTCAAGAAGCAAGTAAGAGCAAATCATCATGCTTCTGCATGAATAACTTATCATAAGTGCTGATCTTTATGTGGTTGCCCATACCAATTTGGTTGCATTGTTGGTTTAGACTGGGTCTCTTTACAGAATAAAATTCTCAACTATGTTAGGAATAAGATAAGAATGATATTGTTAAGTACACAGACTGCAATTAAGTTTCACAATATTAACAGGTTATGATCAAGATCCAGTCAATAAGAAAACAAGGAACTATTTTCATTTTTCCTTTATTTTATTCCCTTGGAAGCATATCAATTATTGTCTAGACTGCAACAATAATATTTGGGTATATATAACTTATCCATTCTGAATTTTATAGTTGTTGCAACTGTGAAAGGTGGAATAAGTCCGGGAAAGCTTTGGCTGGTTTGAGTCATTGACCAAACCGTGGTGTTTAATGATTGGGATATGTTTGTAATAGCTTTGATGATTGCTTGCAGCCTCTCTTGGTCAACCTCGAAATAATACTTCCATTCAGGCCTCCAATAATCTTGTTCCTGCTTATACATATGGTAATGAATATAAGTTGTTCAGAATTTCCCCCCGTTTTTTTTTGTTGGAGGGGATTGCTAAAACATCGAACTTCAACCATTTACAGGGCAAAATGGTCCTGCTGCCACCCCTAACAATCGAACCAGATCATCTCTCAAGAGGAAACCAGCCCAATCACCAGCTGCTATTCCTCAGGTTCAAATAAAAAGGACAGCAAAGTTTTTCGCCCGATCACCTGCAGTAAACATGGCACAAAATGCTCCTTATATTTCACATGTTCCATCCATGGCCCACCCCATATCTTCTGTTCCACCTCTAAGAGTAACACCACAACCATCAGTACAAGCTACTACCATCTCTCTCTCAGCTAGGAGGTCTCTATCTCCCCACGTAAAATGGCAAGGTACTTCTTGGCCTGTATTTTATCTGATTTCAAGTTCTTGCATTTTGTTTTTAAAGGCCTTTCGATTCATTTAATTTATAAAAGTTTCACTTATAACTTGTGAAGCCATATTTTCCATTTAAATTATACATCATTGAGGTCCTTTATTTAACATCTCAAACATAATGCTGTTTCCATTCTAAGCTGTGGACTACATAATGTAGAGATTGGTCTTAATTTTCTCGTTTCTAATGTAGTATCATTCTTTGATTTCTCTTTGTTTAATGGTGTACACTATAAAAGTCCTGCTTGGTCAGCAAATTTGAATTGCCTCAACTTGTGGGCTCTATTCCATTCATGTACCAACTTATTTGTGCATCTAATTCCTAAGCACACTGGAGCAACATATAATATAGAGTTACTGACTCGATGTTTCACTATGTTTTGACATTTAATCACGATATAGTATGATGAAAACTTACCAATGACAAGAAGTAACAATCAGGAGCATTTCTTTGCAGATAGAGATTCTCTTGAACCAAGTGGGTACAAGTGTTTGTTATGCAAGAGGGATCTTTCCTACAGACCAGAAGGCCCTATTCTCCCGCTAACCGCTCCACCTCCCGTTGCGGTTTTGTCATGTGGTCACTGCTTTCATGAACTCTGCTTACAACGAATGACCCCTGAAGATGAAGCCAACAGTCCACCTTGTATTCCGTGTGTGATTGGTGAGGGCTAACTAGCTCATGCTCAATCATTTGCTTTTGCATCAAACTTTACTTTGCTCGGAGTTTTGGATATAGCAGTTTGAATGCTAGGAAGATGGAATATAGATTTTGTACAATTTACAACAAATGATATTATCAATATCCTACATAGCCTGTGTTCGTTTTGAATCGGATAGATTACTGGTGTCATCACTTGGTCAACAAAGCATGTCTATTTTGCAGTTGTTGAGAAAGTAACCATTTTAGTGGCTGTTATGATGCTATTCTGGTAAATTTTGGCTTCCATACGCATATGCATTCATGGGTAATAAATAAAAGTTGATTGGATGTCCAGATCTTACTTTTCTCCACTTCCGCTTATTTTGAACCTTACCCCTTCCTGCTTTTAGTGCCTCTCTTCAAATCATTTTATAAGTTAGTCAAGGATTTGCTTCTTTATCAACTTTCTTTTGTAAAAAAAGGAATTTATCTTGGTTTCTTTGTAATAAATTAATAGCTCAAAAGCCTCCTTAAATATTGTGTCGTTTTATGCTTTTAATGTGTGTGTATATACAAACACACACGAATGTTTAAAACTTGGGTAAACTACATGTTTAGTACCCAATTATCACTTTTGTTCCATTTGGGTCAACTAGCTATTTTTTGTTTCAAAATAATACTTAGCATTACATTTTGCTCACTTATAGTTAAAAGTTAATAGTGATGCTAATGTATCACTACAAGTTAATGTCATGTAATCATTGAAAAAATTTAAAAAAATGTCAGCAATTTTGTTAATTTTTTAACAGTGTGTATCAAAAATGAAACTAAAACGTAAAATTAAATATGATTTTTTTAAATAATAGTTGGTAAACCAAAACGAAATAAAAGTGATAGTTAAGGTATTAAACATGTAGATTATTTTTCACCACAAGTTAGGAAGTGAAGTTGATCGACTCGAAAAGGAGATCCAAGAACTTGTTCCCGGCATTCGTAATGTTGATATTGAAGCCCACAACCCCATAGACTTATCATCGTCATGATCCCAAATATTATTTTTCAAGCATTATCTCTTTCTTTCTTTTTTATGTTACTGTTCTACTTATCTAATGGACAAGAAAAAATGCAATTAATTAAAATTTATGCTATATCATTCAATGATAAATTCTTAGCTGTGAATAGGGAGTTTGAAAAGCAATGCAATTCTTAGAAAGCTGATTTTACCCGAGGATCTGTAATTTGGTGGGTGAGTATCATTAAATGTTCACATTCCTGATATTCTTAATACTCGAACTCAAAATCACAAAGAATAATAATAATTCATTTACCACTAAGATTGATTGATTCATATTTGATATGATATTAAATTTTAGTATAATTTGCTTATTGTTTTGCATGAAACACCATATAGTTAAACTGACAAATTTGATAGGATGAATTTATTAATTTGATAGTATTTTTATTGAGTTGTTAAATTATAATTAAAAAAACATAACTTGTTTATAACCGAACTAATAATTGAATGATTCGAATTATAAATTACCCTAAAATTTAATTTAACCATTTTTTCATTTTATAGTTAAAGATTTCAAAATTGATAAAACCCCATATAACAATGAAGAATTATAAAAATGAAGTTTTGCATCACATGATGACTTAAACCCTATAACATTGCTGCTCGATTGAAATCATTTTAAAGAGAGAAAAACCCCATCTTAAACAAATAATTTTACAGAGAACTTGACACCCAAATGAAGGCCTCAACCACTTACTTGTTAAGAATGGATTCAAAAGGAGGTTAGCAAAAGCATGAGTAAGCCATATGGTTCTTCTTGGCAACATAAGGAGAGAGGTAGTTGGTGACCACAGCAGCAGTACCCGGTATATCTGCCGGAACAAGGATTTGAGGCTTCCCCAAAGCTATTCGTTTTCCGGCTACATTGGCATAAAACAGGCCGGATATGGCAGGAACAAAGACATCACTCTTGGAACATATGTAGAAGTCTATTACCTTTTCTAGTTCTGAATCTTCGGATTCGAGAAACTTCCCCTTTTTCTCCTCTGGCATTATGTTTTCCTACAATAATTCCCAATAGCAAACGCATTTTCAGATTTGTAGGAATTGCATGTTTCGAAAACTGAGCTGTTAGTAACCATTGGTTATCAGCAAGCATTGTACCAAATTCGCAAATTAATCTATCATGTGCAAAGGATTTTTCCGGAGAAAACTTTCGGAACTACATAGAGATTATGCAAGCATTCCACATAATGGTTCGAGTAGCACATTGAAAACATAAATTGGGAGAATTATTATCCGATGAAAGAAGAAGTAACTCACCTTTGTGTATGTTTTGGGGAAGATATCCTTGAGGACACTAAGGCTGTTATCCCACCTCGATTGAGTCAGGTATATAGTGGTATCAGTATCAAATCCGACCTTCCTCAAAAATAAAGCAATCTCCTGTGCATTATAACAACTTTTTGCTGCGGTAGAACCACTTCCACGGCAATTCTTATTCTCAATTATATCAACCCTCAAGTCCACTGCTATAAACTGACTGTCTGATTTGCGACTCAAAGTTCTAAGCCGTTCAATCATTGAATCGACAACTTCATTGACCTCCGGTTGCAACTCTAAAGTTCCAAACATTCCCAAACAGCCGACTGAATCAGCACTACTCTTTTGTGCGGTTTTTCTCATATTTACAGTAGGGAAGTAGGTAGCAAGCCGTATGTTTCCCTTCGATTTAAAAATTGGTTCTACGTTTTCCTCAATGTGATCTTCCATGACCCGATTTGGAACCTTCACGGCAGCAAGATCCCGAATTGATATTTCATTGGGCAATTCTTTCGCTACTTTGACAGCCCCATCCAGGCTTTTCATGAACTTCTCAACATCATAAATATCTTCGAAGTTTCTGAAGATTTTCAATCACCATAGAAACATTCAGATTTTGCAGTTACATTAACTCACACTTGTACTACTTGATATTCTTCATTGAAATAACAAGATAAAAATTTTACTATAGGGGAAAAGAGAGGAGAGAATACATATTCAAAATTAATAAGAACACTAACCTTTCATCACCAGGTTTGCTTCCTCTTATGTTCGGAAGCACAAGTGTTGCGGCTAGGTACCTTGCTACTACCACAGCATCAGCTAGCTGAAGAGGTACTCGCCAATCAACACGGGTTGAATAATAATTAGATGGAAAACAAGCAAAAGGTTCTGAATAAATTACCACTCATAAACTGCTATCACTGTGTGCCATTTCGTAAAATAATCTACTTAATATCCAAGATTATACCTAAGCAGCTACGCTAGGTATTTAGCAAAACAAGAATTTCCAGAAAAAACAAGCAGTAAACATCAATACAAGCTATGCTACTAGGACTTAGGTGTGAATGTCGGATACAAGTATGTGTCCGACAAGTCAAATTCCAATTTTTACTAAAGTTTTTTGCATGCATTTAGAGGATATTTGAAGGATCGTATGCCTGAACCCATATATGAAATTATATTGGGCATGGGTACTTCAAGAAAAGTAAAGATCCAGAAAGTGAGAAAACACCTTATAGGATGCAATGGATTAGAGACTTTCGAATGCATTAGACCTAGGCCCTTTCTTTGTAAGAAAAAGAAAAGGCAACAGCAAAGCTATTCTATTTCAATAAAGTTATAACCAAAATAGATATTTTGTATACCTGAGAGACATGGTATTCCGGGCCATTAGTCAATGAGAAAGTAACATACCCTCTTGCCTGCTCTATCTCATCTGTTAGCCAAGTAAGAACTCCAATTAAAAAGAAACATTTACATATGCGTCTGCCTGTTAAGTCACAGTAAGAAATGCAGACATCGGGATAACGATACATGCATTCGCGAACTTATAAAACAATCGATCATTTTTCAGGACGATAAGAGAAGTCAACGAACCCAAAGTGGTCCTGCTCCAGCATGGTCTTAGCTCACGACTGTCCTCCATCCAAGGTCCTCTGCTCCTCTTTGAAAGCTGAACGAGACCGTCCTTCTCGACAACATTGGTACTATCAAATTGAACATCCTCAGCTTCTCCGGGAAGTTTTTCCTATACGAAAAGGACAAGAAAAGAAAATCAAATTTAGAGAATACTTAGAGAATACATCCCCAAGTTGTAAAAGGAATTGAAAGAAAAAAAAATTGCTGACATTTAATCATTATAAGTAAATATTTACAATTTCCTCTAGTTGGTCACAAAGGCTTGAGAAGTTGAATTAAGAACTAGGACTCAAATTATAAATCTGAAATAACAAGTATTTAACTCTCCTAAACTCCAAATGGGTTGTTTTCTATACCTTATTTAATCTAGTTTTCCATATACTTCACCTGGAAAACAACCTTAAAAAATCCCAAACAAGTAGACCACATTTGTAGATCAGGGTCAGTATATATTCTCCTGTTACTTGAAGTTGCAGATTTGAAGCTTAACAAACTGAGATGATGATAACAGATAAAGTGGAAACTGAAGCAGCTACATTTTGATTTAGTATCATAAAGTCAGAGATTAATCAAATAAAACGCATAAAAATACAATCTTTACAAAACATAGATTAAGAAGTAGAGAGTTATAGATGAAAGAAGAAAGCAAAGAGAGAGGGGATTACTTGGAGAGAATCAAAATGGTCTCTCTTGATCATTTGACCAAGCATCACAAACATGGCGATTGTGAGTATGCCCGCCACCACTTGCCTCAAATCGAATCCCATTTCTTTTCTTTTTTTCTGTCTCAAAATTCTGTGATGAAAAAGGAAAAAAAAATCAAAGCTCAAAAGAAGAGAAAAGACGAAGTTTGCTTAACAAGAAGCTGAAAAAGAGTGTAAGAGTAGTAAAGTGTGTAAGAGTCATACACTAACACCACCGACACTTTGCGCTGAAAATGACGTGCTGCCTGTTTTCTTATCTCCAGCCCGGATTTTCTATAGAAAATATTAGGATAAATTATACTTTTAGTTCCTAAACTATTAATTTTGTTCTTTTTCGGTCACTCAATTATTGTTTTTCAAAATCATGCCAAATATTTAGTTTTAGATTCATTTGGTCACATACCTTTAAAAAAATTAATAGTGATGCTGATATAATAATGATAAATCATCTTTGAATTTTTTTTAAAAAATACCACGTTAGTAGTTTTGTTAATATTTTAACAATGTGTGGTCAAAATGAAACAAATACTAAATATTGGGTGTGATTTTGAAAAATAATAATCAAATGACCAAAACAGAAGAAATGTGGTAATTAATGTATTAATCATGTAGTTTACCCTAAAAAGTAACTTACCCAACGCTTAGGAGAAGGGACAGCAAATAACATCCTCTGGATCAGTATTAGATAGGGAAAATATTTATATTTAAAGAGAATTCTAATTATAAAAATAAAATATTCCTTTTGTCTCGTTAAAATCATTATTTATTTAACGTTATTTACAATTTTTTAAATATTTAAGAAATAATTGATTAAAAATCTAAACCATATTTACTTAAATTTCTATCAATAATAAATTTTAAATAATAAAAAGTTAAAATTATAAAATTTTAACTATCAAAAGTCAATAAATATATTTATTATAAAAGGATATTATATTTATGATTTTACTCTCAAAATTCTAATATTATTTTAAAATAATAATGAAGTAATTATTGATTGATATTTATAAAAACCTGTAATTGAATGTTTTGGCAGTGATGTTAAAATGCCAAATCACTCCTCAAAAATTAATGCTCATTAAAATTGATTTCTATTATTAGGCCTATTTTTGAAAAATATTAAATTATTAACCAATATTAGAACATTTTTAATATTATTATATGGACGTGAGTTATATTTTGTTGGATAATTCTATTTCCATTACCCAAGAAAGCAGGAAACTTGCTACAATAGTACATTACATAAACAGAAATAACATAGTAATCCATCAAGAAGGAAATAGGAGAAATATCTAGCATGAAATACCCCAACTTGCACAGAGGGTCATATTTCTAGAGTCAGTCATGTTGCTAGTCTATCCTCGTACACGAATCTGAATGGTTTCCCGTATGTCGTTCAGAAGCTCATCCACACATTTGCCTCTGCCTCTGAATAGCCTGTTGTTCCTTTCTCTCCAAATGCCATACACATGGCTTGCAAGAGCCATCTTCACAACTTGTACAATGAAGGACTTTCCTTTAAGGAGACGGGTAGCCCATAATAGCTCCCTGCCCCAAGAACTCACATTGCGAACTAGACCACATAAGGAGAGGATTCTGCCCCAAAGGTCTTTCGCAAAATCACACCCGAAGAAGAGATGACTTCTAGACTCAGGCACAGAGCCACAAAAAAGGCATTTGTCATTGTCAATTCTCAGTCCCATTCACAACAATCTGGTGCGAGTTGGGAGCCTGTCACACCCCAATTTAGGGGTTATGTTTCTTCTATATTAAATATGGAAATTAAATAACTTTTTAATTAAAGTATTGGGTTCAAAAGAATTTTGGAGAAAATTCATGGACTTTAGTTATAATTTTCTCCTCCTTTGTTATTATAAATTTAAGAGATTTCTAGAATAAATTATTTTGTTATTGTGAAGTGATATGAAGTTTGGTTGGCAAATAATTTTTTTTATCAGACCAGTATTTTATTAAATAAATTGAGGATAATGAATTAGGTAGGATACGGATAAATTGTTGGGTGAGATAGGAAATAAAATAAGGATTACTTATCCACTTGCATTGAAAACTTTCCTCAAGTGTCTGCCCCAACACCCTATCCTTATCCATATCTCTATGTCACCGCCTTTGATCTCACCAGAGGTATTCTACTAAAGAGAGACAGCCTTCATTTGTTGACCTCAACTCTCTTGAATATTCCATTTCCAAGAAAGACAGTGATGCCGTGAAAGAGGCACTTGATTCAACTTACTGAAACTGGATGGGCCAAGAAATGGAGTTCACAGTCGTTTGTCTCTCGTCGTACGATTAGTCTCCGATATCGAGTCTGAAGTTTTGGAAAAAGTGATCACTCAAATGTTAGCCTGCATACGCATAAGCATACATACATCTCTTCGGGAGTTGACTAGCCTCAGTATTAAAAATACAGAAAATCTTGCAATTCCAAGTGTTTGAAATGATGCAACATTTCTTTTCATAGTAGTTGGGATAACATGGTTTTTGGGAGTTCTTGCTGACCAGCTTCTTGGGGATTGGGGTTTCTTTGTACCATATTAAATCGAAAACATTTCGTTGATAGTGTTGGCAGTGTGGAGCATTTCGCCTGGGTTCGTCTCTCTCTTACCTCAAAAAAAAATAAATGAATGAAGAGCGGAGATCACTCAGCCATTAATGTCCCGGAGTTGAGTGCCGTTGAAAAAGGCAAAGCGCCTCTCATTTTTACTGCCAGGTAGCAAAAGAGCGGATTCAAGAAAGGGTTGGGTATTTCTGACTTCCTTCTAATACTAGGAGCCATTATTGCAGCTTTAGCTACAGTTGCCACCATGAGAACTAGTGATGAAACGCTTCCTTTCTTCACCCAATTCTTACAGTTCGAAGCCAGTTATGATGATCTCCCCACATTCATGTTTTGTGTGATTACAATGGCACTAGTTGGTGGATATCTCGTCCTTTCCCTACCTTTCTCCATAGTCACTATCGTTCGCCCTCATGCGGTTGCGCCTAGACTCCTTATCTTTATTTTAGACACTATATTAGAAGATGTAAAGAACCCTGAACGCATGCATGAATTGATGAGTGAAAGAAGGAAGGAAATAAGAAAACTATGAATAGAAAAGAGAGAGCACGTGGGCTGTTTGAAGAAGTTAATAAAGGATGAAGGGTAAATCACAACACGAGTCATCCAAGTTTGGTGAGAATTCAACTTTGTCTTCTATTTTCTATAAAGTTATGAATGTTGTCTAATGGTTTGAATAAGATTATTTTGGTCACTCACCTTGGTAGATAAGTATTAAATTGGCTCTTTGAGTTCTTAATTTGGTCAGTTATGTGCCTCTATTATAAAAAGGATTTTTAATAATTTATTTTATGGCGAGGAAATTTATTTTATATTTGGGTTCGTATATTTGAAGGTTTGGGTTCTTGAGATAAAGATTGGAAGTTAGAAATTGAGATTGATGAGCTTGAATTCAAGAGTTATTGTTTGGGTTTTATCGACGTCTTGAGTCCAAATCCGAAGTTCGTTTTGCCAAATTCGTACCCGGTGAGTTGTTTTCAATGATTTATTTTCGGATTCAATATGGTTTCTTAATTAAGTTCCGTTTCTGACGTAAATTCGGTTTCCTTGTATCCGAGGAATTATTCGACATTAACTTCAAGATCGAGGGCGTTCGGATGGAATTTAAATGGTCGATCAGTATGACATGGAAAACGAGGTAATACTTTACTACCTCTTTATGCTTTATAGAATATGTTGGTATTGGTAAATGCATGAATGAAAATGTTTGGGCTCATACGTGTAATTAATGAAGTTCTACCTCGATACGAATGCGGTAGAAAGTAGGTAACTGAATTTGACTCAGATGATTATTATAAGAATTGGAGGACAGTTGGAATTAAATTACATGTTCTGAAATTAAGTGATAAATGAATCAACCATGGATATGTAGATTATAATTTATCTCATTAAAGGTAATTGGATGATAAATTATGAGAATATATTGATTAGGTAAAATTATGAAAATACCCATAGATTGTAAAATGATAAGAATTGTCCCTGGGAGTTGATTAATAACTTTGAAAAGACTTATTGATCTGATAAAACTACATATGTGTATAAGGAATGCTAGTTTGCTTAGAAAATTTGGATAATCAGTTTTAACTCCAAGAGGGTTTGTGCAATATACTAGAAGTCTGTTAAGGGAATCATTTCAAGATCAGAGAATGTTCAAGAAAGCAATAAATCATAGGATCTCTAAATTATATTATTTTTTTAAGAGTTAATACCGAAATTATCTGGTTAAGAAATTACGAAAATGCCTTTGAGAGATAAAATAGTCTGAATTGACCCTGTATGAAAAAGTACTTTGAGGATTTGTACTTAACTCGATTAAGTACGAATTTAATTGTTAAGATCCTGTCTTTGTACAGAAAAAATTATAATATTCCGTTTGTAAAATCTGAGAAGACAATTGACCCGAAAATATTCAAATAAGGAGTAAATACTTGAAGAGTAATTTATCGGAGGTATTCTGCTGTCAGAATTGTTCGAAATGACTGAAGACCGGATGGAAGGAAATGATTGAAATATTCTAGAATTATAAAATGACCAAAATACCCCTGTGTTGAAAACATTTTGATATTTCGATATAACAAATTAAGTTAAATGAATTTTAAGATTTTCCAAAATGATTTTCTAAGTATATACGATATAATTATTCGAATATCAAAACATTACTCAAAATATTTCAAAAATCATTTTTAATCCTTACTTAAGTGTAAAATTAAGTTTTAATCTTAAAATAATTTCAAAATAATCTTTCAAAGTATTTCGAACCATTTCAAAGCCAAAAATTCCAGATTGCTCAGAGGGAACTGATTCCCCCCCAAGGGGTACCGATTCCCCCTGAAGGGTTTGGCTTCGAGATTTCCAGAATGCTCGGAGGGAACCGATTCCCCCATAGGGGGTACCGATTCCCCCCTGTTCAACGGTCGAAATATTTGAATTTTACACTTAGGGAACCGATTCCCCATAGGGGGTACCGATTCCCCCCACGCTCCAAACTGTTTTATTAATTGTTTTCACACTAAAACGGCTATATGATCTTCACTAATCATCCCCAACGCTCAGAAGAGATTCAAGGTGTATTTAAACAAGTTCTGAAGCCCTTGATCAACAAGAAATTATAGAGAAACAAGAGAGAAAGCATCAAACACCAAGTTTGTGCAAATCAAGCCAATTTTCCTTTCAATATTCATTTTGCTTTCAAGAACACCATTTGTGCTCATTTGTAATTATCTTTGAGTGTTCTTTTCTTGTTCTAGAATTGTGCAAACATCTTACCTTGTGAGGTTTTCTTGTAAGTTTGCAAATTTGTAATCTTCTCTTTGGGAAAAAGAGTGTTCTCAAGAGTTGGGGTATACTCTTGAGGGATTTTGTAAGGTTATCTCTTTGGCCTTAAAAGAAAGAACAAATTAGTGAATTTGTTGGAAAATCCTTAGTGTGGATAGCTAAGGTAGTGGACGTAGACTTTGTTTGAGAAAGTCGAACCACTGTAAATCGCTGTGCAATTACTTTCAATTTTTCTGCAAAAGCTTCTACGAAATTTTTAATTGCCAATTCACCCCCTCTTGGCCGATTCCGTCGATCGATTAACTCAACAATTGGTATCAGAGCCTAACTCATTTGAAGGTTTAATCACCTCTTGAGTCGATTCGGGAAGAGTTACATCGATTATTAAATTCATCAATGGCCTCCGCTTCAAACTTCAACTCCGGTCTCGATTCGATGCCCGTCAACAAGCCTCCTTTCTTCAATGGAGCTAACTATGCCTATTGGAAGAATAGAATGATGTACTTCATTCAAGCAAGTGACATGGGAGCATGGAATGCTGTAGAACAAGGATACATCAAACCTCTCACTCATCCAAGGTTGTGGAGTGAAGGAGAGACAAGAATGTTCCAGCTCAACTCCAAAGCCATCCATATTATTTTTTGTGCTCTTGGACCAGATGAATACGGAAGAGTTTCATCGTGTACAACCGCCAAAGAAATATGGGACAAACTTCAAGTCACACATGAAGGTACAGATGAGGTAAAGAAATCAAAAATTAGTATTCTAACGCATAGCTATGAAAATTTCAGGATGAAACCAAATGAAGACATTAAAGCTATGACAGATAGATTTTCAACGATTGTCAATGGTCTCAAATCATATGGAGAGATCATCTCAAATGAAAAGCTTGTGAGGAAGTTAGTCTACTCCCTCCCAAAATCATGGCAATCAAAGAAGACGACAATCATCAAGTCTAAGGACCTATCGTCCTTAACTCTTGAAGAACTTATCGGTTCACTCCTCACTCATGAGATGATGCTTGAAGATGAGGTGGACCTTGATAAAGTTGAAGAGACACCAAAGGAAAAGGAGAAGAAGAAAAATATTGGAGTTGCTCTCAAATCCACAAAAGATGAGAGTGATTCTAATAATGATGATGATGACGAGGAAATGGCATTGTTTGCCAAACGGTTCAGAAAAATGATGAGACCTTACCAAGGAAGAAAATTCAAACGAAACGAAGGCCTAAAAAATGAACCAAAAGAGAATGACCCAATTATTTGCTATGAATACAAAAAGCCGGGGCATGTCAAATATGATTGCCCACAATTGAAGAAAAAGGGTCAATCAAAGAATAAGCACAAGGCTCATGTGGCTACATGGAGCGATGAAGAAAGTTCCGATGAAGAGGAACAAGAAGTAGCAAACTTGTGCTTGATGGCATTCGGGGAAGATTCTAAGGTAACCTCTAACTCATCCAATTTTGATGATTTATCTTATGATGAGTTATTTGAGGAGTACAATGGGTTGGCTTCGGATTATGAGAAATTGTTTTTAAAATATAAAAATGATGTTTCAAAATTGAAAAATGAAAACAAACTCATATCCAAAACCAACAACGATCTTGAAAGTAAAATCAAAGATTTGCAAATCAAACTAGAAGAGTTTGAAAAGAAAAATTTAGATTTGCAAAATTTACTTTCAAAGATCAATGATGATCATCAAAAGAAAATTGATGATCTTAAAACTTCTTTTGATCAAGTTGGAACAAAACATCTTGAAAAAGGTGGAAATTCAAAATCCAACTTTGTTAGAAAAAGTTTTAGAAACTACAGGCATAGAGGTCCCCAAAGAACCTCTAATGGAAAAATCATTAGAAGTATGTGGGTTCCTAAAGAACTCATTACTACT